TTACACGTGTAATACGTAAAGTTTACGTACTCAATAACATGTTTTTAGTATTTTTTAGAATAAACAGTCACAGAACATCTGTGGTTATACCTGGTTATACGTCACATTTAGACACACGGCCAGCCATTTTATTACACTTTTTATTGTTCACGAGGCAGACTGTAGTAAAGTGCTAACACTAGATGTTTGTTCTGAAAGGCCTCTACTACTTGCATGTCTTAGTGTTATTAATAGCATTTGTATTTTATTCTGCTGGAAATAACAGAAGGTTTTCACAATTGGACATGAAAAACGGATGATAAATTTGTAAGCGTAAAAAGTAAGCCCGATTATGACAGTTGGTAAGGATCAGGGCAAAAGAAAACATACTACCCTAAATAATGGGACAAAGGCGAGACGATTATGATGGGCATAACCAACCCCATGGATATCACATTATATTTACTGTCGGACTAATGACACCCTTCATGCATTAAGAGGTTGAGGAGATGACAGAAAAACTATTATACTTGTGCGAAGGATTACATTAAGATCAAAAATAGTATATCTACTTTTAACAGATACTGCATTAAGCAGTATGATGTAATATTTCTTTGGTTCTTCAAAAAAGGCGCAATAAAGATTCTTTGAGGTCGGCAAGACACGCATGACAGCTCTAATGTTACAGGCTACTGTAACCCCGTCTACCATCAGACGAGCCATTGCTATTATAGTAGTATAGCAGTATAATAAATAAAAACTGTGATAGATATTGTATTGGGATCTAAGGTAAATGATAAGCTAAATAAAGATAAAATGTACGCCATCTTGGACTGATCCTATTAAAACACTCCAAAAAAATAAAGGCCTTAAAGGAAACTGTCGTTCATAAAAAGCCCCTGACAGAGGATAAAGACTAGTAAAAGCTGAACTATCTCACGTGTGTCACGTTAAGCTTGGTAAATCCTTTACAAACGTCGCGATTGCACATACGAGTGTATATAGTATATATATATATGTGGTTCCGGTTACTATGTTAACATTTCACAGAGCAATATTTTAAAAATTACAATAGATAAATGATCGGATTATATAATAATTGTATATTTACTTCCTTGCATTATATGAATGCTAATTAAACATTTATTTTTTACCTAATTAATATTTTTCCATCAACTTGTATTAACGAGTAAGTAACGTAATACAAGTACGTAATATAAAACTTTGTTGTGACAACATTAAAACGATTCTATAGACACATTAGGTAAATTATGATAGCTACGTACTTAATTAAGTCCAAGGATTACGGCATAGACAATATACAACATTACGCATTCTGCAAATGTAAGGATATATGCTATATATATTTAACAAAATTTTTGAGTTTCATTCCGCAAAAAAAATGTTTAGTCACCTAATAAAAATTACAGTTTAATTTATTTATCAAGATTTATATATATATATATATATATATATATATATATATATAACAACTTGAATTTTACGAACTTACTACCTTTGTCGTTTCCAACAATTGTTTCGACTTCATCCGGAAGTCTTCTTTAATGCGAGGCGAGACATTGCGACGTAAAACACCGTACTCACTCTGAAGAAGACTTCCGAATTAAATCGAAACAATTATCGGAAACAACAAATATAGCAAGTTCATAAAATTTAAACATATATAAAAATCGTAAAAAAACAACATTAGTTTTAAAAATAATATCTTTTATCACAGGCTTTTTCATTTATTGTCCTACAAAAATATTTGTTACCGAAACAGATGTGCACTCACAAATTATGACTCACAAATTATGAGAATAAAAACAAAAAACATCACATCGTTCTAGCATTTAATATTTATTACCTGTAAATTTCCCTAAAATCAATGAATAAATATAAGGACAGATCTTTGATATTCGGTTCTCTAAACCTACCTCACAAAAGTCTTGACTTAAAGGTAGAAGACAGGTATCGCATAAAAATAGTTATGTTTTTTATTGTTTCTCATTTATATGTATCTAAATATTAAAATATTCTCTTAAGACGACAACATGTAAATTCACGTATGATTTCATGACAGAGGCCTATAACACATAGACCAAACACACATTGTATTTCAGTTCTGCGTAACTAAAAAAATATCATCATCATCATATCAGCCTTTAACTGACCATTACTGAACATAAGCCTCCCCCTTAAGGAGTTTTGCCAGTAATTACCATGCTTGACAGCCGGATTGGCAACCGCAGTTAGGCTTTGGAGATGTTTTAAGAGGGACGCTGCTGCCTATTTCTCACCTTCCCTCAGACGTCTCTTACGACATTTACGGGAAAGGAAGGGGTGGCCTATTCTATATGCAGTTGTACTTGCAAGGCTGTTTTTCTACTTGAAGATATATATAAAAACTTATACGTATGTCCGTTTAATATAATTGCTTTTCAACAAATACGATATAAGCTATCAACTCAATGGCAATTCTACGCAATGAGTAGTAGTAATTAAATCATAATTTATTTAACAATTAATCCATGAAATTTAGAAAATTACAGTAATTGAAACACTGTTCTACTCTGAGACTTAATAACTCAAAGTCATCAAAGAAAACATGGAAAATTAATTTTCATAATGAAATTCAACCCTTTCAGGCTAATTGCGTTGCCGATGGTCGTAGTCTGAACGTAATTATTTCTTGAGGATTATTCCACATTTTCTTCCAGAATTTATCCTCACCAACATAAAACATAAAGATAACTAAACAGGCACTTTCTCTATTTAATATATTTACTCTAAAACAAAATAATCTTCAGCACCATTTCTAAAGGCGCTCTAGCCTAATATCATTAACTAGCGGCCCGTCCCGGCGTCGCGCGGGTGGACATTTTTAACATTTTCCTTCACTGCTCTGCTCCTATTGATCGTAGCGTGATCAAAAATGTACTATAATCTGCCCAAGAGTATGAAGAATAATTGTACCAAGTTTCGTTAAAATCCGTCGTGTAGTTTTTGTTTCTGTAATGAACATACAGACAGACAAAAATTTTACTGATTGCATTTTTGGCATCAGTATCGATCAGTAATCACTCCCTGATAGTTATTTTGAAAATATATTTCATGTACAGAATTGACCTCTCTACAGGTTTATTATAAGTATAGGTTGAACCACCAAGTATACGTTGGTAAATTATAGGAAGCAAGCTTTTATCTGCGACTTCGTTCGCAAGAACGCCAAGTGTCTTTAAAGTATAAGAAAGTTAACAAAAAAACAAACTTCAAAGTTACGATTTAAAGTTTCTTGTTTGTAAATAAAATATTTTTATGAATATACTATTTACTATAAATAGTAATAGAAAATGTAATAAAATAAAAAAAAAAAAATTGAGAGAATTATAGAAATCCAATTACTGATGAAATAACTAATAGCTACGGAAAAAAAAACAAAATTTTTTATACTCGTAAATCACCTTTTGCTTTTAGCCCAAATTGAACTTTTGATTTACTATTCTTGACCAAATTACCTAGTTAGGGAGTAAAGTTCTGCGATAAAAAAAAAAAAGAATATTGGAATTAGTTCGTAACTGATGAAGACATAACATTATAAAAATTATGACAAAAATATAATCGAATTAGGACCTCTTGTTTCTTAAAACAGATTAAGAATAGTTCAAAATCTAAAGTAATGGTTCACACGATGAGGTATATTGGAATTTTAAATTAAATAGTTTCGTGCTATATGAACTTAGTCACGTTTCTAGTCAATATAAAAACTGTATACAAAACGCTACGCTAAAGGTCGACAGAAGAGTGCAAATACTATTCTGACGCAATAAATAGCGATTACGGGGCGACTTGCATTCAAGTGAAAATGTTCATTTCGATTTCGTAGTCTTATAGCTTTCTTTTTATTTGCTACAAACGAAATAGTTAATAAAGGACCAAATCCAAATTAGTACAGCTTTCATAATATAAAACAACATAATAATTTTGACTAATATCATGAATGTGAAAGTGAATTTGTTTGATTGGCGTCACCATAAAATTCAGTGGGCATTTAGTATTTGGCATGGAGAATGACACAAACTTTTATCCCGGTCAGCCAATAAAAACTCAGTAAACTAGTATCAATTATAATTATGATAAACTAGTTTTCACTCGCAACTTTGTCCGCATGACTAGGACAAAAAGAAGCTTACGTCCCTCTCCCTACCTTACAGTACCTGCATATCCAATTTAGTAGTGATAGTTTAAGTCATAAAATAGTAAGAAATAAACTCACTTATCTATCACTTATATATAATAAGAATTTAAAAACACAACAAAGGTTTTTTAAATCTCATGGAACCAAGCCATAATGGATTCGCGGAAGTGAAACTGCGATACAGCTCTAAATATAAATATTACTAAAATTATGCGTTAAAGGAACCTCAAAATTGAAAGCAGGGATCTACCATGAAATGAAATTCCGAATTTTCGGGCTCAATTTCGTGTTTTTGTTAGTACCAAAATCGACCCTATAAATGGAGCCTAACATTTCATTTTTCATAAATCCTACCATAAAATAAAAAGGAACGATACTTTAGCATTTTTAATATTTTTAAACGGCATGTATCAAGTAATTTTAACATCAAATTTTTGTTTCGTTCAGATCCGAAATTTGGGAAAACATTTCATGGTAGGCCCTCAGTTTCTCTAAAATAGTATTCGGTTGACAATTTGTTGTGAGTACAAAAATGTTATCCATTTTAGACCCTTGTCGAGTGAATAGCTCGAGTTAGTACTCATATGTACATATAACTTCATCTACTCGTATATAAGAAAAAGTAATGTAAATCGTACAGATATACCTAAAATAAACAGTTATCTAAATTTTATACATTAAACTACTGAAATTGATTTCAAATATATTTTCCACTCCACTCTACACACTCCACGTCCACTGACGTTCATTGATCTACCATTGTTTAGTAATAATAGTCACTGAAATGGAAGATAATATATTTCCCTTTATTTTAGAAACCGACCTGCCATTTTGTGGATGAGGTGACGCGACTCTCTCGCCTTGTACCAGGAATAATGAACCCCGATCAGCATCGAGGAGTATTGACACGTTCTGTAGGATCTTGTGACACAGCACCCGTACTTCAAGCTCGTTGCAGATATCTTTGACCTGAGAACAAATATTAGTTGTATAGTAATAAAATGTTTTTAAACTAGAAACAATGTGTTAAGCATAACGCATTGTTTCTAATAAGCATTTACCTACTACATTGACTATTGTTTATTTTTTAATTTGTATTGTTGTCGTTTAATTTATTAATAATATAAATTGTAATAATATAGTAAATAACCATATTGAAAATAATGTTTAGGTATAAGTAGATATAAATTTCTAATTTATATAAATATGGCTATAGAATAAATTTTATTATAAAGAATTATTTTATTATAATTTTTATAATGACTGTAGCATGTCCAGTAATGACAAAATGTATGAAACCAACTATTGTAATATTACCATATCACCTTATTGTACCACATTTTTAGTAATAAATTTCGTTCATTCTTTCTTTCGTTTATTCATTCATAGAAAAGGACTTATGAGTCTATGAACTAGTGTATGTGTATCAAACAAGTTAAAAAGATATATAACACTCGACTAAACTAACAATTGAATTAGATATGATCATGATTTTTTACATATATTTCAATGCCTAATATAATGATCATTATCATATTAATAATTTAAAGGAATAAAATACACAAATCATCATTTATAAATTCGTTTCACCTTAATATCTGAAACATGAAATTTCATCTAGTAAGGTAATTTAAAGTGAGGCGTTTTCAAGCTTTCACGTGGATGATATTCACATTAGAGTGGGTGAGTCACTGAGTCTGCATGTGAGCATGAATTAGCACAGAATAGCGGTTAGTGGGACAATACTAGCGGCACATGAGTAGGTAAGGCAAAAAGGATACATATGTCACGTTATATTCTCACTGTTAAAGATTATGTTATTTGATACACTAATTAGTGATCACGAAATAAAGCTCCTTCAAAGAATAGATAAATTTATTATGAGTTATATATTACTTTATTAATTAATTAAAAAATTTTAATATAATAATAATTCTCAGCTTTTTTTCTCACTCGCTTTTTTAATGACTTAAAGTCATTAAAAAAAGAGTGTTTGTTACCTCTTATCGCCTTAAAGGCTCAACAATCATTGTGAAATATTTTATACACGTTATATAGAAGGGGAGGGGATATGATTATACTCTTTACTTAGATCGACATACTCCCGTTCAAGCGTACAAAGTCGCGAGTAAAAGCTAGCTACAAATAATTGTATGTTAATTATTTGTATGTTCCTAGTCCTAAAACTAAGATAAAATAGTACATATATTTTTAATCTTTTTTTTTTAGAAACTTTTATTCAATAAGTATTCTTATTGGATAAAAGTTCCTAAATAAAAGTGCCAGCCCCATCAAGTATATCGTTACATCACAGAGACATTTGTAATGACAAATGAAAGTACAAAATTTGTATATTTCAATACATCAAGTTTATAATGTGATGAAAAGGTGGGCGTTGTAAAAGCGAACTTGAGAAGAGACACCAACACATAAATAGCTATAACTCACTTTTGAATCTGATTTCGTTGCTAATTTCCGTCGACATGTATTCCTGGCAAACGGCAAGTATTTACCAAATTCTATAACGAAATTTGCAAACCAACATTTACCAAGTTCGCTTTTACGCCGGTTCTGTAATGAATCGCGACACGTGAAGTCTATGGAAACTCGGGTTATTTAAAGAACGACGAAAGTTTTATAATAAAGTTTGTCGTCTATAACTTTAATTTTAAGTACAGACATATTACGTTAACACTTTATAGTCTGTAAAATATGAGACAGTCATTTTGCTAATTATCTTCTGTTCGTTTAGGAATTCTAAACTAAAATCGATGCCAAGTTAGAGTCATTTCATTGCTTTGACCTCTATTTCAACCTTTTTTTATAAAGAAAATGAAAATTTCAATTGTTTTACTTAATTATTCTAAATTTTCCAAAAAAAAAAGTTAATAGCTTAATACTTATTAGACAATTTCGTTTTTCTTGTGTTCTTATGTGACATTAATAAAAAGTTCATACGTGTCTTTATATTTTTGGTATCTAATAACATACTTAATGACAGCCAGATTTTCCATAAACTACTAGGAATAATAATAATAGAGAGTATATCGAGTATCAGTGCATGCTTTTTGAAAATTTAAATCTAGCAATCAATCTGTACACAACTAGAGAGTAAAATGAACAGTCACTAATTGAAAGCCAAAGTGAGCCACATCAAAGTTGAAATTAGGTATCATAGACAAGAGACAAAATAATATAAATTCATTCTAATCAAATAGCAAATTGCGTACATAAATATAGCATTTATATTGTAAATTCTTATGAAGACAATTCGTTAACTGAGACTAAGGTAATAAGCAATAGTCATAATATAAGTAACTAGCGGCCCGTCCCGGCTTCGCACGGGTGGATACTTTTACAACATTTTAAAAAGTGATTATTGTGACATAACGAGTTGGACATATAATATCGCGAAGTTTTTTGTAGTTATTGATATTTTCTTCAAATTGTAGAATATACTTTTGTTCTATCACCAATAGTTTCCGCAGCGCACGCGACGAAAGATATTTTATAGCATTTCTTACACCTTGAATTACGTTGCTAAAGTTTTAGTAAGTATCCCTAATCTTTTCTAGCAATAAATATAGCCTATGTTACTCAGGGTGAATGTAGATTTCTAATGGTGAAACAATTTTAGAAATCGGTAAAGTAGTTTATTCATTACAAACATACATACACACAAAAATACAAATCTTTCCTCTTTATAATATTAGTGTAGATAATGTAAGAATTGCTAAGAATAATGTCTCTATAAAAACAACAGAACCTTACCAATTGTTCGCTAATATAAATCCAAACACATACATAAAGGTTTAAAAAGGTTAATAACCCTTTTTTAGTACATTGGGAAATCTCAGGCGTATTATAAAATATTTCTTCAATTCACTACTGCAATTTATCTATGTCCCTAACCGATAATCACGTGAAATGATTAATTAGAAGCGATTCGGGTAGAACGTGACGGAACAGTAATCCGAACCCAGGAGACGTTTATTTGGGTTAACTTCAAACCTCATATATAATAACTCAATCAAGTTACTAATGAGATTTATATGTTACCACTAGGTACCGAAATAGTATTGGTATTAATGCGAATGATATTGGTGTGATTTATAACATCATGCTAAATGTATAAAATATAAACCATCTTGTCTTTACTTCGTTAAAAATAGCATTTTTTACAAATAACAATATTTAGATATTTTTAGACTACTTTAAGTATTAATAAAATTACAATGTTATTAATGAGATTTTAAAGTAATACCGTAAACAATTTCTTCGAATTTGTCAACCATAATTTTATATAGCTTGGCGTAATTTTGAGAGAGTGAAGCCAACTTTCAACGATAATAAATTATTGAATAATTTCCACTAGCCTGTTTTAACCAGAAACAATAAACAACAAACAATACCATTTTTTCACTTATTTATTTACCAGAGGGAGACTACAAAAGTCGATTGCTTGGGTATCTCTATCCCATTCGTGTTTCAACCGTGAAGCAGTTGTGTTTGCATGGCTGTGTTTCGGTTTGAAGGGTGGGATATAGCGTGAATTTACTGGGTATAGAGGATTAACACCCGAGTCCTCAGGAATGGCAACGCATGGGGGGTATCATGGGCGAAACAGTATACTCTGTTATGTCCATGGTACTGTTCATGTCTATAGGCGACGGTTACCACTTTCCATCAGGTGGACCGTCAGCTTGTTTGCCATTCTAAGTAGTATAAAAAAAACTTAATTTTGTACGATTTACAACAAATATGATTAATAATTCACAATAGACTATAACATTTCATGTATTTACATCAAACGTAAAAATATTCAAACCTATAGCAATGAAATTTTAAACGAACTTAACCAAGTATTAGACAACAAACTATTCAGCAGATGATAAGACATTATAACTTTTATTAGATAAACATAAATACATTTTATTTCAGAAATTACGCAATTAATAATTCATTGAAAGTATACGAGTATAAGCGAAATTAGATCACTCAGTGGTTGATACATTTATCTGAAGCTCCCCTATAAATGCCTTCTAGTCAAATGCTACTAAGCATCAATGAATACGTATGAATATGTATTCACGGTCGGCTTCCACACGTGCTCAGTTAGAAAATTAAGTTCATTTATGACTTGCGAGCTTTATGCTATTTGCTAGAATCTCAAGCTATATTAAAGTCAGTGACTTATCTATCCAAGTACGAGTATATATGAATAAAATAAATAGGCAGTATTGCAAGTCACTGGAAAGAAGAATGAATCGATTGAATACTGTTGCCAAATCTTTTGTAACCCGAAAAATATTTAGGAGCGGAGCGTACTCTGAAATGATAAATCCGAATATCAATCTAACTTTGCATAGTTTTGTTTTGAATAAAATTTATTGAATCGAATTTATTTGAAGTAAGACTTACGACATATTTTATCTTATACAATACGGTCCAAACCAATGGAAAGTCTATACAGACCAACTGAATCCAATTAAATTCGTATTATAAAACGCCCGAACTTTCAGCAGAAAGGTCGCATTTGTCATTTCACAGTAGACCCCGTGTATATAAAATTAATTCTATTTTAATTTATTCGAAGTAGCTATTTTAAACCCCCGTAAATATATGAAATCGACGTAAAGACGAAGAAACAAAAATCTACTACTAAATCATCCTACTGAATTTAACCTTAAAAATAACCTTCTTATAGTAGTGGTCAATGAGTTTAGCTTTGATTCACGATTGAAACCAATAAGGGTGATTTTTTTACAGCGTTTTTATTTTGTGTTCCAGGAAACCAACAAAATTGCCTGACATGACATTCGTTTAGAGTCAGTTTTTGTTTGATTAAGCTTCTGATTAGATACTTCAGTGATACGAATACAAAAGCGAATATTATAATATACTTATGCACACAAATTTCGTTTATTATACTGAAACATAACAATACTACTCTATTTTATTTCGTATTACTTTCTAAAAGTAGTGAGAAAGATTATTGTAGTAGAATCGTTATATTGTATCAAACTAAAGTCAAATAACGATTGTTCGCAATACTTGAACCTCATTACAAATGGCTGAATGTATGTGACAACCACTACGTACCGTGACCCAGTTCACAGGACAAGTTCAATGCTAAACTAGTTTATATAAAATAACATACCCGACGTACGTAACATATATTGGTACGGAGTCGTTAACAAGTAATGGTTCTTAGAGAACACTTCACGTCAACATAGCAATGATGCGACTTCCGTTTGTTAGTACGCAGATTTACGTGGGTACATTGGAATTGTCTTTTTCTTATACTAATAAGAACGAACAAGCTGACGACCCAATTCAT